ATATCAATTCATTTTTTATCTTCTTACTTACAAAACTCCCCCTGTTCAGAACCTCTTGCATACAAGCCCGCCCACGTGGACGTGGTTGAGTGACAGCTGCCCCCACCCTTATCGTCAAGCAGAACTGCCTGCGGTAAACCGTAGGCAGAGAGGGACAAGAGTGAGAAGACGACGACAAACGAAGGGCTGTGACAGACAAACTGTTTCTGTTTCGTCTGAGTTTTCTGTCAAGACGACTCGTACATATATAGCACAACTCCGTGCTATAGGAAAGCTTCTTGACCATTATCAGTGATAGACGTAACAATAATGACATTTGTCTATCTGCCGCTGATAGTTTACTTAGATCATCATCATGAATAAATTCGAGGGTGCATTCCATTGTCTCGGGAAAAAAAGTATCCCCCATAGCACAACCTGTGTAGTCCAGTGAGCTTGTTTTTTTTTTCTTTGAAGGCACTCCACCAGGAACTGAACCTGTTTCGAAGGCATACCACTAGTTGAGCTGACTGACTTTCACAGCTGTTTTTTTTTCTCAGCTTTTGATTTATAATACTAATAATTATTATTATTATTATTATGATTATGATTATGATTATGATTATTATAAATGTATGTGTCCTATTATACGCTATACAGCGTGAGTGTGTGCACCCGGGCAAGAGCCCCGGCCTTCGGCCTGCAGACAGGCAAGCAAGCGCATCTGGAACATGTCAATCATTGTAGTAGAGGATAAAGTTTTGTATGCCTTGATATCATGAATGAGTCAGAATGACAATAAAAAAAAGGCCTGAAAGGCCATCCTGTCCAGATTGGACAGGAAATTGAATTTATTGGTTGGGCTTAAAAGGAATTAGCCTTGTCAGCAACAAAAAAGGTAGCCAGTGGGTTTAGGATTGTGTGGGTCTTCTGTCTGTATATGGGACGCTGGACCCGATCCCGATTTCCAGCAGGTGATGCTCCCCACCAATAGATGGAGCCGCCGCCCCCCAGGTGATAGCGGTGTCTGCTCTTATCAGCACCACTAGAACTGGTCGGGGCTTGTTTAAAAAATAATAATAATAATAATAATAATAAAAATAAAAAAGGATTGTGTGGGTCTTCTGCACCTCATAGCTGGTTTTCGCCTTTTTTTTCCCCAAAAAAATGGTTGTGGCAAGTCAGGGCAGCGGTCTAGAGTCGACCATTTTTTTCGTCTGTGCCTGGACGAATGCCAATCCCAATGCATGCACCTAAGCTGGGTAATGGTCCAAGTACATTCGTTTTCGAGCTGTTTGTGGAGGGGTTCCCGGCCTCCCCCTTTCTTGTTTGCAATATTATAATGAGTTTTTTATTTTTATTTAAAACAAAAAAAAAGGTAGCAAGCAGCTACGTTCTTTTGTTTGGCAGACATTTTCCAAGATTTGTCCGACAGATTTAAAATTTTGATGAGCGCATTCTCAATCGCTGCTTTATCATCATCATCACTAATAATCGTTTTCTCTATGATGATGATGATAAAGATGATGATGTTAAAGATGATGATGCTGATCTAAGTAAACATAATCAGTGTGATGGGAGGAAACGATTGGAGTAAACATCTCATTGCCAGATACCATTATTGTGTACGTCGATCACGAGGTGGAGAAGCTTTCCCAGGGGACTGGATGACTTGTTGCAGCTTTTCACTTAAAAAAAAAAAAGAAAAAAAAAAGGAGGGAATAACAACGAGTCCTTTTTTTTTTTCTTTTTTTTGCGGTAGTTACTTTCACCTGTTATATGCGGGCGTTCCATGGGAGGAACGTTATTTTTCTTGTGCTGTGTCCAAAAACACCGCTCGGGTGCAGTCTGAGACCTCAGCGCTTTTCTGAGGAAATGCTGTCCTGTTGCTCTGTTTGCTGAAATTTCCACTCCCCAGACTGTTTGCCGTGTATGTGATCAGCCAATGTTGTAGGTGTACCTCCTGTCTCTTATACACATCTAGATGTGTATAAGAGACAGGGGGGCACAGTGACTGGCCCATCGAAGCAGATCGGTCCTGATGCT